AGTCCGACAACCGATGTAGCCAGGCTCCTGCTACTACAGGAGCCAAAAGTCTCACTAGAGCCATAAACCTCAAATATCCACAAACTCCCTCTCCTATTTTTGAAGCTGTTTAAAAGAAAAAAAAATAATGCTAGCTCCAAAGAAACCATGGAGCAATCCTTAGGACTTTGAACTTCAAGCACTGGAGAGGGAGCCCAGGTAGTTACCACAAGACTGAAGTTTTGGGGCGGGCACTGCAGTGGATTTAGCACTCTGGTCTCTTTTAGCCTTTGCTGCATGACGTATTATATAATTCATCTGTGCACAGAAACGTATGGTGTAGTGATATAGCTGGATAGATTATAAAAAATTAGAGTGTCATCAAATAATGATTAGGCTATTTCTCCTCAGGCTTGCTAGTTTCACTTAAAGCCATAGATCCTGAGGTCAGCTGATTAGTGAGATCTCTCTCTGTGTATCTATATCTTTTTAAGAAGGCCTCTAAATCTTGCGGTGATGGGAGGAAACATTTCGAATATAGTACCTAAGTACATCCTAAAGACTGTGAATGAAGAAACAAAGAGGGAAAAGAGTCCCATAATGTAATGTTATGGTTTAGTGGCTAAAAATGGGAGAAACCTGAACTAGAAAAAGAAATAGGGACTATATAGATATGGCAAATTGTGTGAATCTGCTAATTGCTCCTTTCCGGAGGAGCTAATATTAAAACATACTTCAGCTTCAAAGAGCAAAGATTAATTTTGAATATTAAGGAAATGTAGTTTTCAGTAATGACTCCTTACAATATGAAGTGCAGAAGCTATTGGCAAAAATAGGATGTATGTGCTTGTGTGATACATATATATACACACACACATGTACAAATATAAGGACAAGCAATATGAAACTGTACACTACATTTTTAAATACCTGTCAACAGTCTATTACCATTAAGAGAATTCTTCCATAAATTTCAGCAGCTTTATCAGGATAAAACTAATGACATTTTAGCAGAGAGCTTCAAAGTTATAAATGTAATTGGGTCTTTTCCAATCTCCTGGCCAGAAAAACAGTTTGTCGTGCTAGAGTTCATAGTTCAATCCTCCAACTTCCTGCTGTGAAAGGTAGGTTGCAAGCACTCAAGGGGAAGGAATTTGGTGTTTCTGAAAGCCCTAAGCACAAGGGCGCTCTGATACCCAACAAATGAGCTGGGTCACACAGAAGTAATGACTTGCCCTTGATTTTTCCAGGACTTTGAAGATCAATACAACAATCATTTCCCTCTGTCCTTCACCACTACTTTTTACCATGTTATTTTGTGAAAGGACTTCTTATTTTCCTTATTTCTCCCAGAAGCTACAGGGTCCATAGATAGCATACCATTGCTGAAAACGCACGGGAGGTTTCTGAGCTGTTCTGAAGCAGTTCAGAGTATCGATGTGCTTTCTATGGATCTGGGCAATTAGAGACAATCAGTTTAACGCTTCTCTTTACCACCGAACGAATATTACATGTTGTCATCTGATCCACAAAACCTTTATAAACAGGTGCTATAAAACACCTTTTATTGAACAGTTTTATGAAATGTTTTGAAATATGTTACAAGAATACACGAACATTTCAAGGAAATGTTCTTTCACATCATATAAAAATACACGTTTCATTTTCTTGAAACATGATTTACGGAGAAAACTAAGCTACTAAAATTTTCACTTATTTATGCTAGTATTGTAATCTCACTCTGAAAGATAGTTTTGGTCTACCCTCTTTTGAAGTTACATACTTTTTTCTCTTGCTTACAAAACAAAGACCTGACGCGCTGCCTATGAGCATCCCTAGCATAAAGCAATATCTAAACTTCTCTGCATTTCTGAAGGTTTTCATAATTGCGATGTTTTAATAATTTTTAATGTTTCATAATCGCAATGTTTTAAAAGATCTTAGAATGCCAACATCAGTAGATTTTCAAGAGAAAAAAAAAACAACAGGACAGAACCTTTGAAATTTTATTTGAAATAGTTTCTTAGGATTATTATTTTAAAAGTCTTAGAAGCTTTATTGATGAGAAGTTTTTTGGGTCACTTGAAGCTGGCGAATCTTAGAAAATTGCTGTCTATGCTGAATCTCTGGCACAACAATGAAGCTGTTTTTCACAATTAATTCTGAATCATCAGCTTAAATTTTTAGAAGTCATTCAGTCATCTGTGCTGTATGTCAAGTGTCACAACTACATTAGAATTATGCACAGGAAAAAGCTATGTGTGACAGTCTGTTATTTTCCTATCAAAAATGAAAATGAGTTCACAAAGTGTTAGAGAGCTGAAGACCTTACTTAGTAATCAAAGTGTCTGCAACAGGAAATCTAATAGAACCAGGAAGGTTCCTAGAGAAGATAAATCTTGTTTCTGTATTTGGTACTCAAACATATTTTAACACTATCCTGCTGCTACTACCTTTCTTGAAAGTGTTATATCCCTAAAAATACGTCCAAGACAAAAGGTTTCCGAGAATTATCCCCTGAGCTGTGATGCCGGCTGACCACAGAGCCAGCCATCCCCTGGTAAAATGTGGTGCAGAGATCCCTGTCCTGACTCCACGCAAGCTAGTTCCAGGCCATCTACCAGTTACGCACGGTTTCAGCTTGCCTGCTCCCCTCATCTCAGCATCTCTGCGCTGCACCAAGCAAACATGCTAGCTCGCTCAGAGACACCTGCAATATCCCAAATGCAGACTTCCACTGCACCACACAGACGTGCTATTTGGCATCCTGATTCTTCAAAAAAATTACTGTGTTTGCATACATTTAATTGGATTCGACAGTCAGGTGTGATATACATGCATGTAAGTACTATGAGGGAAGTATTTCAGCACCCCTCCTCCCTATCCATTCTCCTCCTTGTAGTTCTCCCCCACTCAGCTTTCCTATTTGATGTACTCTTACTGCCTCCCTTATCTTCTCAGCTCTCTTGCCCACATTTTCAATTTATACAGGCTATCCCAGGACTTTTCAAACATTGATACTTTCAAAGGGGGTCATGTTATAATGCAATAGTAAACAGAAGTAGAGGGAGAAGCATGCTAAAGAGTTGCAGAGCATCTTGAAACTGTGAAAAGGAGGAAAGCTGAAGCCCAGCATGCACTAGAAAAGCTTTGCCAACATAGCCACATCCCAGATCCTCACACACAGACAGTTTATGTAGGCCTGGATCAAATGCTTTTTTGCCATTAGAACTTATGCTAATTCACAAAGTGAACTATGTTATTCTGGCTAAAACATTTAATTGTGTCAATGCCAGGATTTAAATTCATTTTAAAAAATGGAAAAGCATACAAAAGCAGCAAATCAGGACTACCAAGGAACTAAGGACCCACGCTTTGAGAGCTACCGTCTTCAGATGTACATTTTCCCCATCCTCACAGAGAGCCTGACCAACAAGTTACCTGCCAAAGCCCCAGCTAATGCTCCGCTTCCACACAAGAGAAAGCGCCTACAGTAGCAACTGTTTGTTACACACTACTAGCACAGTGGCACCCTGTGCAGAGTACCCCACGTCTTGTCGTTTTTAGGACGGACCACAGTTTGAAAACACAGAATCTGCGTTTTGGAAAGACGGCCCCCAACCTAAGCGTTCTCAAGTGGTGACCAATCTTAGTAGAATCACCGTAAAAATACAGTTGCAATGCTAGTTAGGAAGCATCAGAGTCCCAGCTGTATAATTACTCCTCTCTGCCACTACACTGTGTGAACACTAACAAAGTCTATGCTTTCCTATGAAAGAGGCCGATAGTTTGCTTCTCTACAGGTTGACAGAGAACCAAATTGTCTGGTTTTGAGTCCATTGCAAGTCAGTCCAGTCACAGCAAGTCAAAGTCAGTCTGACTTGGGGATAGGACATCTACCACTTCTAAAATGATCTCAAGCTGGGAACTTGCCCAGGAGGTATCTGACAACTCCAGCACAGGACCTTCCCATGCAAGTACCTCAGACCCATTTAAGATTTCCTGAGTCTTCCATCTGCTCATTCAGAGCCTTACCTGTGCTCTTAAAGTTTTTTTTTTTCATTTTTACCTTTATCATCACAGTTTTGAGGACGATTTTGTGCGTTATAGACCTTAACAAGCCAACCTCCCAGAGCACAGGCTCACTGGATCCTGTGAGACTGCAGTTTGCCAGCATTTCCGACTGGACATGCTCACTTGGGCTGTTTCCCCATTGCCTGACCTCCTCTGTGTGGTGCTGGCAGCAGGAGTTTATGCTTGCCCTTTCACTCCTCTCCTCCCACCACTTACAGGGTCTCTCTCCAGAGCTGCTGTTGTCCATGGATGGAGACCTCAGGGCAAGGCAGCTGGCCGTTTTATGACTGCATAGCATTGTCTGAAGGAAAAGTGTTCCTCAAAAATAAAATCACCTACCAGGGATGCATTAGTATGAGAAAGCTTTGTATAAGTTCTACCCGGTTTTCTGATGGCATATAGGTCCTTCCTTTTGGTCTTTCCCAGAGAAAAACATTTCAAATTCTAGTTCCACTAAAAGTTGAGGATTTTAATTTTCCTCCCACTTCCAAAACCCTCTAACTTTAAGGAATGAGTTCCTTTGTTTTACTTAAAATACTTCCTGGATTACATGTGGATCATTCAGAGGAAACAACCTGAATTACCCCTATTACTCCTGATAAAGAGAGTATTAGTATGCTGCTGTTCTATATGAACCCAATGCAGAGTTTACTGTCCAATAGACCTATTCCATCACATAAGGCAACAAGACCTGGAGAAAGATCTTCAGTCTGTGAGATAATCTTGCTAGGACCACAATAAAAAACACATGGTGCAACAAGGGGAAAAAAAAGGCACACGACAACACACTGGTAAGTATGCAGTAAGAGATTCTTTTTACAAAGTGCCATACAGGCTTCAAAGACTAGAATAATATGCACTGGCAAAGGGCAGAGATGAGAGTGTAGATTCTGTGAATTTTGACATCTCTCCAATTGTACGTGACTTTTACTGTTCTTGTTTTACAGAGATTCCCTGCTGCAGAGGAGCGCACCAACGTAGCAGCGTTCACTTCTCTTCCATCAAACAATTTCAAGACCAGTTTTCTCTCAGAGCTGTCCTGGTGAGCACACAGTGGGGAACAAAACCAAAAACTACTGTTGGCCCAGGTGATAGCCTGAAAATGATGTTTTCTTACTCTGTAGACTGAGGTAGAGGCCTTTTCCATACATATTTGAAGATAGTTTGTTTTGTTACTCTCAAGGAGCAAACGGGGCAGCTTCTTCCAGCTGAATGAAAGCTTTTGCAGTCTATATAATAAAAATACATTAAATAAAACCAACCTCTCTAGCACTACTAAAAAAGGTGGAAGCAACACTTAAGAGGATCAGAAACTCCTGTGAGCTCGGGGCATCAGATATAACTAGCTGAATTACTGCAAACTCCCGAAGAACTAGGACAAAAGGTGTGCACATTGTCTTAGAGGTCAGGTAATACAGAAGATGTTCCATCAAAATGCTTATTAACTGGAGAGGACCAAACTTTTTTAAACATGATTTCTCCCCCCTGACTGCTCCGGTTTACAACCCGTTAGTAGACTTTTTCCAGCTGAACTCCTTCTTGTAGGACAGTTTCAGAGGTAGGTGTATCAGTGATAAAGGTCTGTGACTTAGCCCTTTGCGTGCATGTGTTTTCAGAGGGCTGACAAAAACATTTGGCCCTGAAGCATAAGGATGAATGGAAAGTGGGAGAAACAAGACTGCGTTTTACTACAGTTCAAAGGAAGGAAAATCATCTCTCAATCTCCTTGTTCCAAATGCTGCTTTGTAACTCCTACAGGTTCCAAGCCCTTACCTGAAAGGTGCTGTTTTGAAATATAAGCAAAACTGTTCTGCATTTTCACCTCTCTGTGCAAATTTAGCTCATAATCATGAAAGAAAGTCACTCCTGCACAGTATGAGGCTAGCTGTACAGATTAGATATAGAGACGGCTGAATAATCACTTCTCTGATTCACTGCAGAGAAAAACTTGAAACAAAGCAAAACAAAAAAACTCTTGCTTTTTCTTCAGTATAACTGAAAAAAGTTTTAAAAAGTCAATGCAGAAAAATTTGGGCTGAGTGAGACCTTTCAGGCCCTTAAGTGCCCTAAATAATAATTTAGGCCCTTAAAAGCCCTAAATAAAAATGGGTGACCAGTGGGTGGGGCTAGGAAGTATGTGGCTCACTCATGACATGGAGGGTCCACATGTAGATCCCGACTGCTCATCCAAGGGGCCACACACCTCAAAGGACAGGGCATTGACCACACAGTTACATGGGACTTCCTTTGACCATCTTGACAAAATACTTGCCACCATGAAGGAACTTCTTTTGCTCAATGGAGAGCTCACATAGGGAGATAGGATGCCCAGACTCTTGTCTGCTTCTCACAGATATTTCTTTACACAGCTCAGAAAACGATCAGTAGAAGAGATGGCACAAAACAGCTCCCACAGGCGCTGCTGCTGAGGACTGGATCTCCAGGCCTTGTCCTCTGGGGCTCTTCCCCACCATACGGAACGTAAGGGGCAACTATCCAAACCGCTGGCCTGAGAGGCCAGAACTGCAGATTCACAATCACCTCAAGGAGGAGAGGGAGCTGAATCCTCAGATTTAATAAATGATAGAAATAAACCACTGCCATCTCCTCTGACACTGTTATGAACATAGGTCTGAATTCTTCCCTTTCTCCAGTCCAAGGGATCAAATTCAGAACAGATTCACTGACCGGTTACCCAACAACTGAAGCTGCATTTGGAAGGCACGTTTACTGCTTTATGTAAGCCAGTCTGTTGTACCATAAACCGCAGCATTCTTGCTGCTCCTCCTTTCCCCCTCCCAGAGTGCTGGCTGAGGATCTGGCTCGCCTTCTCCCCCCCCCCCCCCTAGACTAAAACACAAGGCAAATAAAGAGCAAACACAAATGAGTGACTAATTTTCCAAAAGGAGACAAAAAAAATCTCAACTTCAACACTAGAAGCAGCAAGGAATGCATAATTACTTTCTGAACATCATTCTTCCATATAAGCAAATGCAGCAGTTGCTACAGATATGATGACAATAAGCAGGGGAGGTATTCTCCAGGCAAGCTTGACAAGCCGCAGAGGGCTATACTGCAGTCCAACAGATGTAACTAGAGAACATGGCAAATGCATAAAGGAGAGCAGCGCAGACTAATCCCACCTGTGCAGCAACTCTGCTTCCCAGGTGGGTTTTGCTGAGCGCTCTGCTCAGTCACCTGGCTGAGTTTAAGCTAGCTCTAGCAGTACATCTCCAGGAGCTGCAGCAACACCTTTGAATCGAGAGGAGGAAAGGAGTTGCCCCCGTGCGACAGTCTCCGTTACATGGGTTTGTCTTGTTTGGGCTTGAAGAGTCTTTTGTTGCAGATTGGAAAACATGGAGTGCTTGGAAATGCTCGTGAAGTAAAGCAGCAAGGAGCACAGCTGTCTGGAGGGAGATGTGCCAAAGGAGTCACAGCCATCACTCTGCAATTTATACAGCCTCGATAAGAAACATGAAGGTGAGTTAATTACATCAGGGAGAGGAGGACAGGAGCTATTTCAGTGCTTCACTCTGCCTCTTTACCAGAAATTACTGCCTTAATTTGGGTTCTGAGGGAGTCGGTGCTTGCACCTCTCCTACAGCATCCAGCAGCACAAGGCAAGCTTGCCTTCCCTGGGGGCCTGAGCAAGCCCTCAGACTTTGCGCCTAGCTGCTTCAGTGGAGGTACAACCTCCCCCGCTGCTGATTCTGCACCAAGGGCAAATATATGACAGAGCAGACACCCGGGGTGGTATCTTTCGGGGTTAAATCTGTCAGAATTCATCTGTCATCTTCACCATTTAGGATTATTTCTGTTGGCTGAAAGAATTTAAAGTGCTGTTCAGAAAACTAGAAACAAGCCTCCTCTTTGTTTTGCCTGGCACAAAACATACTGCAGTGTTTCATTTTGCAAACACTGGAACTCTTAGACTGGTGATATGAATAAGAAAAACATCTAATGAAGGTTTACTATGCAACTTTTGTGCCTTGAATTCGAGGCACAGAAATGGGCTTTCCTTTGCCATTTTGTAACGGTGCATTCCTGTGCTCAGGCAAGAACGGATTTGTGCATCTCTAGCTGGAGGCACAGTATTCTCCAGGACTCTCAAATTTCTTTCCTTCAGGTGCTATATTGACATTCAGCGCATGCTGCAAAGGCTATCTGTTTACCCATGCTTCTCCTCAGGGGTTGCTTAGAAGACAGAATTCTGTGTTATCTTTAGTTGACATTAGTTCAATTGATTTATCTGTGACTTTGTAGTTTTGGTCTGGGTTTCTAGAACTGGGTCTGCTATGACTTTCTATAGGTGAAAACGGTAAATAATTCCAGTTAACATTTTCAAGCAGCAAAACCTAAACACCTTTAGAATTATTCTTCCACCTCTCCAATACATTTGAGGTCCAGATGTATTCAGTCCCATGGGCTGAGGACAGTGCCACCCAAAGCAGAGAAACCCAAGCAATACTTAAGCATGCACCTATGACTGTTTGCCAACAGATGAAGAACTAAAAGGAAGAGGTTCCACTCTACCTCCTAACTAAGAAGCAGATATAGCTCTTAAAAGAGAAAAAAGTTAAGAAAGTAAGTTGTAAGCCATTTTAGAAGATCTGAGAGAGCACCAAGATTTGAGAGCTTCAAAATTATGCCTTAGAAGGGGGAGGTACATCTACCTGAAGCGTGCAGAAAGCGTAGGGCCACTTTGTCATTTCTGCGTCTCACTTCAGACTACTGACAGACATTTACTGTGCGTTCCAGGGATGGCATCAGCTGCCTTCGCTTGGCCAGTTACTCCTCTTGTAAACGGAGCAGTCCTCCCTACCTTGTACCAGGGGATGCCCTGTAGCTTCAGGAGCCTTGAAAAAAATTATTGGGAGGAAAGAGTTTAAGGACAGGACATCTAAGAGTCAAACTGAAAGTGCTCCTCTCCTCTTTCTCACCTGTTGGGACTCTAGGGTTTGGACTCAGCAAAATACACATTCCCCCATCAGATCCTGTAGGAGTTCACCCTCTTTAAACATCCATTTACTACAGAATGGTATTATTTCCTTCTACTCGTATATAACATGTTGGGTCACTACTAAGCTACCTGTCATTAGCACATCACTCGATCAGTATCTAAAGTCAGCAACAGCCACACTGGGAAAGATTTTTACGAGCTCATAAGTACTGTTTTTCAGAAGCAATTTTAGCTCCCACGCAATGCTGGTGCTTATGACTACATTACCCTTCTACGGTTATTTTAGTCTTATCTCCATAAGTATCTGGCTAACCTGCACAGGAAGTGGTTGTAAAAACAGACTAGCTGAAAAGAGGCATAGGGTCTTATCAGGAAGTTTGTGGCATCAGTTTCCGCAGGAGCAAGAAGGTGATGCTTGGCCAAAAAAGGCAGGAATCCTGCTAGCAGGTGAAATGTTTCATCATTGCAAGGCCAGCTGGAGCCTGTCTGAATGAAAGAAATGATCAGGATTGTTCCCTATTACCTGCTCAATTTTGCATTTGCTTAATGGCACATAAGGAATCCAGAGAACAGTCTGACAGTGCAAAGACTGCTATTGTTGTCTGTAACATTTTAAATACGTTTAATTCAATCAGATGCTCATTTTCCTTTTCTGAGCATTTCCCTTTCTTTTGTTTTTCATGGCTTTTTAAACCAAAGATACATTTTGCTAAGGAACCCCCATGGACCAAAAAAAAAAAAAAGAAAAGAAAAGCAAACACCCCTCAGTACACCCAGAAAACTTGTATTCAAAAGTAGTAGTCAAACTGTAATTGGCAAGTTTTCTCCCTGACAGTGCTTAAAGCATTTTAAAAAACAAACTAGACACACAAATAAACAGTAGTTGGAAACTTCTAACAGTTCAGTCTAAATTCATGACCCAAAACAGTAGGGTCATGATGCCTTTCCCAAAGGCATCCCCAGCTATGTTTATCCAGCAACCAGTGTTTTCTATTTCATCCCAGGTTTACTCAAAGGCAGAGGAGTGATGTTTTCTAAACATACAAGGACAGCCCGATGCTGCTGAACAAGAGTGATCACTTTTGTTGCTATCCTGTAAAGCTCAGATATAAATAGGCATTTATGGGTTTAATGATGATGCACACATATGCACCTACAAAACTGAGGAGCACCGACAACACTCCCTTTTCTTTGAGTTGCCAGGGGGCAAATTCAACATTTACTTTTGTGATAAGGCACTACATACGTTTTACCCCATGACTTCTGAACAAGATTAGACAGATGATATACATGGTTTATCGCTAAGGAGGTACTTACATTCATATCACCTTAACATGCCGTAGCCGGGAGGAAAGGAAAAAAGATTCCTGGAAGTGGCTCGTTCTTCAGAAATAGTAGCGTTAACATATACCAGGCTAACAGACACAATATCTCAAGTGAACAGCAACTAACGTTGTTTACGGGGTCCTCATTCATCAATCAAAGGCTAATCTTTTTCTGGGTCAACTGAAATACTGTACTTGTATTTTAATAGCAGTCATAGAATAATCTATTGTGTTAAGATCTATGGTGAAGATACAGTACAAAACATCATTTTCACCAGTCTTAAATTCAGGAGATTACATACGCAAAATACAGAGCTGAAGAATCAAGTCATTCAAAAGTCTTCCAATAACTGCTCTGTATTGAAAAGGTAATAATAGATGACATTTCCAAGAGATAAAACATTTCCGAGATAGCAGTGGTAAGCTGATAGATTCTACTTAGTCCTTTAAGAGGGGCACTGAGCTGCCAGCTCCATAAAAGCAACCTTCAAAATAGCTGAATCTTAAGAATTTCTTTGAAAATAGTTACCTGTCACTGCCGAACACATTCTATAATTATTTAAGTATAGATTCCCCTTCAGTTCAGCATGACCACAAGTTTGTTTTCATTCATCAGAGTAAATTCACTGCAGAGGAAATGGCTGCAAGTCTTCCACGATTCCTTTGGAAGTTTTATGCCAGGTATGTAGCCGTGTGGAGAACACATCCATGCCCACACCACAGAGCAGAGGGATTACACTTGCTCTGTGAGGCCAGAGCTCAAAAGACTCTCGCACAAATTAACAGCAGAGTCCGAGCTGTAGTTATGCTAGTATGCCTAGAGCACTTCTGGGCATCACCTGAAATTAGATCTTCCCCACACTAAACGCATGCAAGAGAGAACTCCTACTGTTAAAGGGAGGACAATATAAACATGCAAAGTGGGGCAGCAGGAAAGCACTAGTGTAGCTATTTTACAGAGAGTGAACCAAAGCACTTAAATGAATTTACTCAAAAATTGACAAGGGAAGCCTACCGCAGAGGGATGCAGGCCAGCTCTCGTGCATCCTAACGCAGCGCACTATCTGCAGGACCATCCTTTATACTGCTAAGAATGGTTTAATTGCTTGCTTAGTTCAGAAGCCAGTGACAGCTACTGATTGAACTGAGTTCAACAAGAAGAAATCCAGAATGAGTTCATCCTGGAAGCAATCAAAGGAGGAAAGAGCAACAGATGCTGCCAATCTTAAACGATGCCAGCCTTTCAACTTCACATATCTATAAAACGTATTTATAAAAAGTCTTTTAGCTAATGATCGCCCCAACAAGCTTGCACAAATCACAGCCACAGTTAGCGGAGGCTCCCCATCCCACTAGGACAGGAAAGCCTCCAAACTTTGTGACTTGCAGTCCCACGCAGCACAGGCACGGACAGGATGGCTCTATAACCTCAGAGGGAGCCACCACTTCAGAGGGCAAATCTTGCTGCCTGACTGCTGCCTCCCTTAGATGGTGCCACACTCCTTGGTCTGCTCAGCAGCTCTGGGAGACCAGCCCAGATGCCTGCTGCTGGGGCTGTGATGGAAACCACATTCAAGAGCAGAGGATTTTAACACTCCATATAAAACAGAAAGATGTATTTCCAGAAGGGTATCATTAAAGAACAAATTATGTGCCATGAACAGAAGCCCCAGCACAATGATCTGTCTAACAGTAGTACACTGAAGACTTCCTGTGGTTGTCTTCAGTACTGCTGCGTTTCTCTGCTACCAGCCTTTAGGAAAACAGACCATAGAGGCTCATACTCTTTAGGCCATACAGGGAAGCATTATCGCTGCATATGGCAAGTAAGCACACTGCTGTCACTCTGCTTCTATAAAGAGCTTCCAAGTCATTGCAATACTAAAGAAACTCACTTATTCCTACACACTAGCTCTGTGAACTTATCCATATCATTTTTCTTACTCCATGGGCACAAACTGAATAATCTTTCAAAAGCTATTAATCAGATTTAATTATCTCTAAATTGCTTTTCACTTGCTTGTGACTAAGCGCTAATATCTAAAGAGTAGAAATATATAGGATAATCAACCACAGTGAGCCTAAAATATGATCAGTTGTTGAATATCCCCGGCAGTCCGAGTTTCTACTGGACTGAAAAGAAGCCCAAAAGATTTTTTATCTATTTATAGAAGCTAAAAAATGAAGATCTGTTTAGCAGAGGTTGAACATTCACCAGATAATACTATAGGTGCCTGTTCCTTCTGTGGAAGGCAGCTAGCTACAGACAAAAATATCTGCCACCTAGCAATTACCATGGATTCAGAAGGTTTTAAGGTGACATTGACATGATGAAAGAACTATTTTTATGCTGGTGTGAACTATACTGCACGTTTAGAGAGAGGGACAAAGAGAGAGGAAGATAGACAGCACATGCATGCTGTAATCTGCACACATATAGGACAAAATTCCACTCAGTGTTTGCAAATTTCGCTGAGTAAAATTTCCTTTCCTAGTCCTTCTATGCAATTAAATGTTAACCAAGCAAGGCTAAAAACATTTTTTTGAATAGCCCAATAGCATATTAGCTATTGCCCAGGTTAGAAGACAAAGAAAAAAAAAATCTACCACTGAATTAGTGAACTGGAGTTAAGATAACATATAGCGTATAAACATTGTTTTTAAACCTCTCCAGCACAATACAAAAAAAGATTTAATAATGTTAATGAGACGCTCTTTTTTTCTAAGAGAAAATATTCATTTATTTCCCTGCACATGGCACCCAATGCAACAAAAGTGAAGTCCACTTCATTCCAGAATTGGTCAAAGAAACACCCCCTCTTAGGGATTCATGCCATAGATTTTACACAAACAAGAAATTACATGTCAAAAATCTCAAGAGGCTGAAATCTGGTAATTCTCAGTGTGAGAGAGTTACAAGCTCTGGTCTAAAAAGCAGGAAGTTTGCACTTCGGTTACAGTCTGTAGTGAGCTCAGAAACCTTTTTTGATAAGAAAGTAGGGTGGAATTGTAAGTCCCCAGAACATAACTGAGAATTAATTTCATCCTACCATTCAAGTATATCCCTGCTTTCTCTAGAGCCAAGGAGGAGTTGCACTGTTTCCACAGAGATTGGCATCAGCAGTACAACTAGCATTCCAGTTCTGTGCAGTTTTCTATTCAGCAACCACAGAATAGCAGAACTTGAGGAGAAGCGGTGTTCTCAAGCATCTTACCTGTACATGATATTTCAGTTAGACAGTAAGTCAATCATTTGAAGTTTTAAAATTTATTCAGCTATATCATTTTAGGGCCTTGTAAGAGGAGGCTCTAAAATTAAGCTTTCAAAGCAAAACTGTTTTGTCTCCTGTTGGTACTGCAGTTTTTCCCCTTTCAGCTTTTTCCTGAAAGCAGTGTTCCAGTTTAGAAAACTCATGCTTACTTATACACAAACAGGGATGCACTCACATGCTGACAGGGAAAAAGGACTTTATAGAGAGAAAAGGAGCACTACACCAACTTCCTGTAGATTAAAGCTTTCAAAAGCATTTACGTTGCTTAGCAGGGTTGATGGGGCAAGCCTAAAAGCAGTATTGGTACTTACGTTAGAATGAAACTATGTTAAGCAGCTTCAAGAAGCAACTATAATCTATTCAGAGTAAGCTTTGAGAAGGAGGGCTCTCTCAGCACCACGGAGCAAGCGCAGAGGCTGCGCTGATGCCGAAGCCCTGCTTGAGGAGCAGGGCTGGCTCCCCCTCGCCAGCACTGCACAACACCCCGTAGGGCTGCGGCAGCTCAGGTGCCACTGCACCCTGCTCTCCTCTGCCACACAAACGTGCCCATCTCCATTGACACAGCCATGGAGAAGAGGAGGCTCCTATTCCAGAGGCAGAGCCACCTCACAGAGGAAAATCTCTGCTTGGTGCTAGAGTCATTACTGACAATAAATCTGAGGTTCCTCTAAGTTTAGGCCCATAGTCTTCTAGGATGGCAAAACTAAAGCTACCTGGAAACTAAGGATGTGTTTTCTGAAGTGTTTTTACTCTTCCAACAGGTAATTTCTACAGATAAAGATCACCTTTAAGAGTGAACATGGATTTAATCAACTCAACTGAACAGAACAGTACATCAGAAGAACTATTCAAATGGGTGACATCCAAGATTCTCATTTCCATTACCCTGTCTGTGCTTGCATTAATGACAACAGCCATCAATTCTCTTGTGATGACTGCAATAATTGTGACAAGAAAGCTCCACCATCCCGCCAACTATTTAATCTGCTCTCTTGCAGTAACCGATTTCCTTGTGGCAGTCCTAGTGATGCCCTTCAGCATTGTCTACATTGTGAAGGAGACCTGGATCATGGGGCAAGTGGTGTGTGACGTTTGGCTGAGCGTGGACATTACCTGCTGCACTTGTTCCATCTTGCATCTCTCTGCCATTGCTTTGGATCGGTACAGAGCAATCACGGATGCTGTGGAATATGCCAGAAAAAGGACACCTAAGCACGCTGGTATCATGATTGCAGTGGTATGGATCATATCCATTTTTATTTCCATGCCGCCTTTGTTTTGGCGGCACCAGACAACCAGCAGGGATGACGAATGCATCATCAAACATGATCACATTGTTTTTACCATTTACTCTACATTTGGCGCCTTCTACATCCCACTGGCATTGATTTTGATCCTTTATTACAAGATATACAAGGCAGCAAAGACATTTCACAGGAGGAGCGTCAGTCGGATTGTAAGGGAGGAGGTAAATGGACAAGTCCTTTTGGAGGCAGGTGAAAGAAGCACCAAACTCACTTCAATGCCCAGCACAGCAGAGAAGACATCAGATCCTCTGGTGGACTGTGATAAAATCAATATCACCCTACGAAGCCCCAGGTCAGAATCTAAGCAAGAGAAGTCCTGGAAAAAACAGAGAATCTCTAGCACAAGAGAGCGAAAGGCAGCAACTACTCTGGGTTTGATTTTGGGGGCATTTGTGATCTGCTGGCTCCCTTTTTTTGTAAAAGAAGTAGTTGTTAATACCTGTGAAAGATGTCATATCTCAGAAGACATGTCTAATTTCCTAGCATGGCTGGGATATATCAATTCCCTTATTAACCCTCTAATCTACACAATCTTTAATGAAGATTTCAAGAAAGCCTTTCAGAAGCTTGTGCAGTGTAGGCAATATCTTTAAGAGCTTTTGTTCATATAAGGAGAACATACTCATTGGGTTTTTTTAACCTGCATAAATTTATATAACTGAGATGACATTTGTTGTGTTTAAGGAAAAGCACCAAGATTCTACATCTACATTATCACTCTCAACTTTTGTATCAGTAGTATTGGGAGCATAAATTGCCTAAGTTTTAAAGAAATGGATCATCTGGGATCAGTTTTGCTCTAGAAAAGGACATGATGTATACTCTTTGTGGCCCTGATCCAGCTGGGATTTGCACAGCTGCCCGGCTTGAACCACACAGGTATTACCTTAAACATGAAGGTAACTTGCACATTTGAAGTTATGCAGAAGTGTAAGTCCTCACAGAATCAGAGCCTGAGAAGTAAGAAGCTCAGAGCTCTTTAGACAGAACAAAGAAACAAAACACGAGCAATCCTCAGTCACTACCAAGTAAAACCATATGCATGCTTTGATCCTTATCACAAATCAGATAGAAAAATACACCTTTGAACTAAGACTCCATTTTATTAGTTTGGCACAGGCTTGCACCACAGAGCCAAGCCATCCCCTGCCAAGGGAAGGAGCTTTGAAGGAATCTAGTATCACCCGCTGTCGATGAGCTGACAGCAGCCACGGCTCTGCCTTCTCCATGCAC